AGCATTGAAACAATGTGACACCAAAACAATCAAGAGCTTCCTCGCAGAAAGGCAATGTGAGTTAATCTTCAATGCTCCCTCAGCAAGTCACGCTGGTGGCGTCTGGGAGCGCCAGATTCGGACTGTCCGTAATGTCCTAAATGCCACACTCTGTCAATACTCAGGCAGACTCGACGACTCTTCCCTTCGAACTCTGTTCTATGAAGCAATGGCCATTGTGACCAGCCGTCCGTTAACCGTAAACGGGGTAAATGATCCTACCTCGCTCGAGCCATTAACTCCGAACCATCTCATACTGATGAAGTCCAAGATTGCCCTTCCACTGCCTGGCAAATTTGAGAAGGAGGATGTCTATGCAGCGAAAAGGTGGCGAAGAGTCCAGTACCTCGTCGAACAGTTCTGGAGCCGGTGGAAGAGAGAATATCTCATGAACATCTCCACACGCCAAAAGTGGCATACGACTCGACGCAACCTTAAGGTAGATGACTTAGTCGTCATAAAGGAAGATACCCCTAGAAATCAGTGGCACCTGGGACGAGTGGTTGAACCCACAAAGGAGAGCGATGGACTAGTGCGTCGCGTCAAGGTGTTAGTAGGAGAAAGGACGTCAGTGAAACAAGATCGCCCTACCAAACCTTTGATTACAGAAAGGCCCATTCAGAAACTAGTTCTTCTCCTCGAGAGTGAGTGATCAGTCTAACTGTCTACACCTTTATCCCCTTATGACATAGGTTACTCTATCAGTTATTAAGTAGTACTCACCTGCATATATCTAGAAACACTGATACAGACATAGGACTCAAGTATGAGCTGTTCAGCCAGGTTGATCCATGTCTTCACTCTTCATAACATGAGTGGTGGGAGTGTAGATGACCACTAGCAGTGTTTTATAATGATTATCCTGTTTTTTATATTTTTATTTCTTGTGACTTTTATTTTGACATCGTGCTATCTGCAGGGGGGACCTTTTTCTCTATGCTCACGCGCTCACTCGTAAAAAAGGTAAACGCAAGAAGGCACGATATAAGACAATGCATGTTTAGAGTCAGAGGTTGAAAAATATTATTGTAACCTTCAACTAAAGTGTTTTTACATTGAAGTGTTATTCCTCTGTACTTATTTGTTTGGCAGTAATAGTTTGAGAATAGTTTACGAAGTTGCTAGCTAGCTCTCTAACGTCCAAGTTAAGTTAATGGCGGCAGCCTTCCCTGGATCACCACTCTTTAGCACCCTTTGAAATGCGGAGCGAGGTATGTGGTTCATTGTAATGTACTATTTCATATGAATTCATTTCATACGTTCATGTAAATGGTAATGAGATTCATTTCATGATGGTTATTACCTGCTATGCTGTTATCAATGTGATGCTATCTTGCTAAAGTGCATTTGTCAAAGGATTATTTTGTATCTGACTAAACTGCTTTTGTTATTTTCCTTTTAAGTTTTCACGGTGTTGGTATTGATGCTGAGCACAGTGTTGGTGCAAAGCACGCTCGTCTGAATTAAAGTACACCGGTATGGAAACACTCCCAAGCCTGTTTATTCCAAATTGAAGGGCTGCTACACACGGGATCGTGTGAACGAACACTTTTCTGAAAACTGACAGGTGTGCACAATGTTATTTTTGAAAATGGAGAGGGTGAAATGTCCGTTTATGAAAATAGCCGGCCACGTGTAAACTTAATGTGGCAGGCAGTACAAGAGAGGGAGGATAGAGAGAGAGTACGAGAGAGAGACAGAAAAAAAAAAAATCAACTACGCCACCCTGGTCGCTAAGCCAGGGAAGTGTCCTATTAAAGACACACAGGTTCGGTGTTTCCCTTACATAAATACTCCGAGACGTGAATATGGAAAAATACAAAAATATATTCTTTATTTAGACAAAGATAAAATACTGGCGTGCCAGTCAGTTAGGTTCAATTATAACATCACACAATAAACAGCTCACAGGACTCGTGGTCACCCGAAGCAGGACGAGCTAGTGCCAGACGTCGCTTGTCTCAGCGATGGTAAAAGAGCACCCACACGTGCACTACACGTCACTCAAATCACATCAACCAAGACCAATCACTATGGATTGCAGACCACACACTGTGTCTCATCAGGACCCGCCACCTTAATTGGACAACTAGCCCTCCTGCTCCGGGCTCACAGTGCCTGAAACACAAGAAATAAAGAATTACAAAAAAAAAAAACCAAACCAAATAAATCAAAACAATTATCCTCACCTATGGGTACCCATATACAGGACACCACATGCGTGACATACAATAATATACGTAACTAAAAGGAAAACACTCCGCAATCCACTCAAACCTGCACTCATCAGTGTCAGTGATGGTGAATGGATCGCTACGGGCCAACAGGAACAACCTCCCCAGGCCGGTTACCACTCACAATCCCTCTTTCCCTTGGGACCAGCCGGGGATAATCTCACAGTGAGCAAAGAAAATAAACAGTAATTATAATACAAATAAAGCACAAAACAACACCCAAAACTAAGAAAACAAAAGACCAATTACCAAGCAAACTGATAAATCAACAAGCAAACCCAAAAAAACACAAAAGGTAAATTACACAGAAAAACAAAACAGAATTACACACGCAAGCAAAATAACTCAAACAAAAACATTAATAGGAACAGAACAGCAGCGACGACAAGTCCTAGAGCAGGCAAGTGTAGTCTTCAAGTGCCCTTAAAACGGCAGATCGATCCACCTGCAAAAGCCGGACTATGAGCTAAAATATGCATAGCATTAATTTACTGTTGTACAATTGATCGCACATACCAAACATGCGGAGATCGCGCCACTCGCCCAGTCGACAAGAGATGAAAAAGCCCAATGATACGCTGGAATACACAGACTCCATAATATTAACTATTCGCTCATTAATTAAATACAGCCAAAAGGGCCAAAGAGAGACCTACCAGGAAGTCAAGCAGCAATACACCCCCGATGCTGAATGCAATTCATACCAAAACGGTGGTATCCGGAAAACAGCGCGTGTTGCCAGGCATGCAACCCTCAGCACAACGTGTGCTTTTCTGCGAACAGCCCAGAACCTGACAAAAGTAACACTCAATCTAATGTTCATTAGGCTCAAGCATAAAAACCAGCCGCCACACTCACCTCAGCCAGAGCACCAGACAGTCGCAACAATAATGACGTGCTAGAACGCGGTCGCACATTCACGCAATCTCCGGTGACAACACCGCCACCTTAATATACCCCTTGGAAGGAATTACCATAATTATCAATGAATTGAATGCTGATCACCTGCGTGCATCTAGGGCGGAGTCTCACTCTACAGAGAGGACGTCAACAAACAGCGGCATTTCACTACATTAACATCAATATGTCTGTTCTCAAGAGGTTAACTTGAGTCAGGTGCATAGGGGAATTTCTACCATAACACTCATATGACATTCCTTTAAAAATATAATTCATTTCTGTAGAGCTGGACATTTTATTAAGGATCAAACGACTGAGTTCAGCTTTGAGAATAAAACCAACCTGTTTGTACCTCAGTATCTTATAACATATTTTACTTGTCTTGTGTGTGGATTTTTAAGTTTCTGTCTCCGCCTCCATTTCATAGTCAGTTTGTGGTTTTCTTGTCGAATAGGTCTGTGATTGTTCCCAGGTGTGTCTTGTTAGCTTGTTACCCTCTGTGTATATCTACACCTGTGTTCAGTGTCGGTTATTGTCCTTCCATGGATGTACGTGTGGAAGTCTCTCAGTTCTGTTCTCCTTGTGTTTAGTTTGGATTCTAAGTGCTTTTTGTTTTGCATTTTGTTATTGTTTATTAGTAAATCTCCACTTTGATCCTCGTTTTCTGAGTTCACTTCCTCTTTACACTTTAATCTTCATGTTTTACTCTGAATGTTTCTTCAATCTTCATGTCTTCACTCTCCTCTTTAATAATCGCCATTTTTATAATAGTGTCACGTGGATCTCAGTTGCTTCACCAGGAGTTTTTCTGTGTTTGGACGCTCTGTCATGTTTAAAATGAGAATAATTAACAGAACGAAAAATAAATTCAAGCTATGGGTGCATCTCAAGGTAAGGGATCAGAGTGATAGTCTGAGTGATGGATCTACAGTATGAAATGCCTTTCTTGTATACATGAATCTTCTTTGCTGATTCCAGATGAAACTGTGCCAAGTGGAGTGGTTGGCCCAGAGAAAGAGGATGTGACCTTCATCAGAGAATTCATGGAGAAGAATCCCTGTTTCTGGACATACCAGCCTTGGTAATGCACACGCTCAACTAAGAAGAGAAGAGAACTTTACATAAAGCCTGTATTTATGCCCTGGAGGTGGACACTATGGGAAAGATGACTTGTTCATCAGGAAATTGGACCTTGAATTTTATACAACGCATCTGTACCAGTTGTTAAATTATTTTATGAAGGTTTCTATAATTTTATTAAGTTTTAAAGTGCTTTTCTATAAAGTTTATAATGTTTTAATGGCTTTTTTAAATTAAATTTTTATAGTTGTATTTTACTGTAGTAAATACAATGTAAGCATGCAGTTTAATTTAATGTTCAATAAGAACACAGATAAATGGTATATGAATAGTATTTAATGGTTCTCTGTGTGATTTCATAATAAAAGTATACAAAATGTATAGCGATTGAACATTTTTCATAAAATCCTATATTAAGACTTTAAACAATTACTCCGTAACATATAGTTGTGTTAGATGCATACAAAAATCACATTGATGCGATTACTAAAGCAAGACACGCGTTGTGTTATTTTCAGCACAAATGTTTTCAGTGTCTATAGTGTCCTTTTGAAGTGGTGTGCCAAATAACAGGGTTGGGGTTTGACAAAGTGCCAAAAGTGAATATCAAGAAACCGAACTAACGTTTGAAGCCGGTGCGGCCACTTAGTGAGGTAACCCGACTGCCATGATCTGGAAGAGAACGGCTAAAATGGAAAGCATTTCTTCTAATCTGTCTGTTTGTACTGCTGGGTTTTAAACCCACCATCAATTTCCATCACTGTCGTGTTTCTGGCAGATCATCTCCTGCAGTCGTCCAGTGGCATCAGTCAGATTGTGTCTCTTTCTTTTAAAGAAACTCTCATGTTGTTCAAGGTGACTCTGACAGTAAGACTCCAGGCACCCCAGACAGGACTTGATGGCTTTGCGTTTTCTTCCATCACAGACGTCACACTGCACATCTCCAGCTCCAGCGTAACAGTCAGCAGGAAGTTTAGTCTTCTTCAGTTTCTCCACCACTTCAGTCAGCATGGTGTTTTTAGCTAAAGCAGGTCTTGGACTGAAGGTCTGTCTGCACTGAGGGCAGCTGTAGACTCTCTTCTCATCCTCCTCATCCCAGCGTCCTGTAATACAGATCTTACAGCAACTGTGTCCACAGGGAATGGTCACTGGATCCTTCAGGAGATCCAGACACACTGAACACATGAAGTCATCCTGAGAAAACGTGGCTTCTGCCATTTTTCTGCACGAATACAGAGATACAAACACACAACACCTCAACTACAGTTCAGTTTCTCTTTCCCTGAACTGAAACAGTTTCTTGTTTCCTGGTTCTGTGTTTAAGTGACGTGTGCAAACAGGCGTGTCTGTAAAGCAGCTTCCTCGTTCCTGGTCCCACACACATTGTGTTTAATCAGTCTCAGACACACACTCAAATAATAGAAGTTACAGAGAAGCAAGACAACACCTTTAATAGTTCAGTTATTCTGTTTCATAAATACTTCACTGGTACCGCAGGACTGAAAACTGTGTCCAGTTCCTCATAGGGCTGGGACGATACATACACCTATCTCCCAATTCAATACTATCATGATACTTGGGTGCCGAAACAATCTGTATTTTGATTTTTAAGAATTGCGATTCTGCAAGTACAGCGATTCGATTTTGCAATGTATTGCGATTGTTCTATTATTATTTTTGATAGTAGACCTTGAGGAACAGTTGAATCATACACTAATACAGACTGTACAGGATGTATAAGATGAGTCATATTTACAAAAACAATTCATCACATGGCAGCAAGTCTGTTGTCAATGGTAATGATTTTGCAAAGTTATTTTCTCAGCACTATTTGTCTGGTCATGTGATCTCAACATGTCCACAAGAGGTTAACTTGAGTCAGGTGCGTAGGGGAATTTTTTACAATAACACTCACATATGACATTCCTTTAAAAATATCATTAATTTCTGTAGAGCTGGACATTTTATTAAGGATTAAATGACTGAGTTCAGCTTTGAGAATGAAACCAACCTGTGTGTTCCTCAGTATCTTATAACATATTTTACTTGTCTTGTGTGTGGACTTTCAAGTTTCTGTCTCCGCCTCTTTTTCATAGTCAGTTTGTGGTTTTCTTGTCAATAGGTCTGTGATTGTTCCCAGGTGTGTCTTGTTAGCTTGTTACCCTCTGTGTATATCTACACCTGTGTTCAGTGTCGGTTATTGTCCTTCCATGGATGTACGTGTGGAAGTCTCTCAGTTCTGTTCTCCCTGTGTTTAGTTTGGATTTGAAGTTCTTTTTGTTTTGCTTTTTGTTATTGTTTATTAGTAAATCTCCACTTAGTTCTTCTCCTCGTTTTCTGAGTTCACTTCCTCTTTACAGTTCAGTCTTCATGTTTCACTCTGAATGTTTCTTCAATCTTCATGTTTCACTCTCCTCTTTAATAATCGCCATTTTTATAATAGTGTCACGTGGATCTCAGTTGCTTCACCAGGAGTTTTACTGTGTTTGGACACTGTCATGTTTAAAATGAGAATAATTAACAGAAAGAAAAATAAATCCAATCCATGGGTGCATCTCAAGGTAAGGCATCAGCATGATAGTTGGTGTATCTACAGTATGAAATGCCATCATTGTACACATGAATCTTCTTTGCCAATTCCAGATGAAACTGTGCCAAGTGGAGTGGTTGAACCTGATAAAGAGGATGTGACCTTCATCAGAGAATTCATGGAGAAGAATAACAAGAAAATCATCATCCGTTAGTGAAGTCTCCAAGAAATATTCCCTGTTTCTGGACATGCCAGCCTTGGTAATGCACACGCTCAACTAAGAAGAGAACTTTACATAAAGCTTGTATTTCATAATTTGGTATTTTTTATGTTTCTGTTTTATGCCCTGATGAAGGTGGACACTATGGGAAAGATGACTTGTTCATCAGGAAATTGGACCTTAAATGTTATACAACTCATCTGTACCTGTTAAATTATTTTAAGAAGGTTTCTATGATTGTTCTATAAAAGTTTTTAATGTTTTAATGTCCTTTTAAATGTGTTTTACTGTAGTTAATACAATTATGCATTTTAACTTCATCTTAAATAAGAACACAAATAAAATGGAATATGAACAGTATTTAATGGTTTTATGTGTGATTTCATAATAAAAGTATACAAACTGGATAGCGATCGAACATGTTTAAAATCCTATTTTAAAACTTTAAACAATTACTCAGTGACACATAGTTGTGTTAGATGCATACAAAAATCACATTGATGCGATTACTAAAGCAAGACACACATTGTGTTATTTTCAGCACATATGTTTTCAGTGTCTAGTGTCCTTTTGGAGTGGTGTGCCAAATAACAGGGTTGGGGTTTGACAAAGTGCCAAAAGTAAATGTCAAGAAACTGAACTAACGTTTGAAGCCGGTGCGGCCACCTAGTGAGGTAACCCGACTGCCATGATCTGGAAGAGAACGGCTAAAATGGAAAGCATTTCTTCTAATCTGTCTGTTTGTACTGCTGGGTTTTAAACCCACCATCAATTTCCATCACTGGATGCTGCTAGTGTTTGCCATTTATCTGTTAAGGCCCTGATAAACTCACGGTGAAGCTCTTTTTTGCTCTTCTCTTAGAGTACGTTTGACTAGTGAGATTGTGCTGAACTGTGCCCTGGCCTGCTTGAAGAGGTGGAAGAGCATGGAACTGGAAACATGACCTCACATCTGCGACTGTTTCAACATTGGCACTATCACTCTCTCTCTCCTCTCCACATACAGCTGGTGTGTGGTGAGCGCACTGGCGCCGTTGTACTGTGGCTGCTGTCGCATTATCCAAGTGGATGCTGCACACTGGTGGAGGTTGAGGAGAGACCCCCTGATGTGATTGTAAAGTGCTTTGGGTGTGCAGTAGTACATAGTAATAGTGCTATATAAATGCCTCATTTTATTTTACAACATTGCACAAAGGACAGGAAGTAACATAAAAGTTCAACCAAGACGAACAGATCATATGAGTTACTTAAACAATCTTTGTCATAGAATACACTTGTTTGTTCACAGTGTGAACGTTCTTGTTTCCACTTGTTTAATTTAAAGATCTGTGCCCGGTTGCATAAAGCACCTTAAGTGTAATTTTCCCTCAAAGTCGCCCTTATGTTTCCCTTAAACCTAAGGGTGTTGCAGAAAAATACCCTTAAGTGTTACTTAACGTTTTTTTTTTAAGTCAAACGTCATAAACACTTAGAATTTCCCTTAAATGCTGTTTTTTCACTTAAGTAATCGTTAAGTGTTGCATAAAACCCCTTAACGGTAATTTCCCTAAGTATAACTTAAGGTTTGGAAATCGTAACCTTAAGAGTAACGCGGACAAAAATAAGACGACATGGCTGAATTTATGAAACCAGCTGAAGATCATAGGGAATAAGAAGAACCCTTTGGACCAATTTAGCCATGAAAAATTGTTGCAAGAATACCGATTTGATCGACGCGCAATATTTGACATCGCTATCAAACTAGACGGCTGTCTGTCTGTCATTACACGCGACTCGCATGTAAACTATCACAACGTTAAGTCAGTGCGCGCACGGAGAGTGTGTGGCCGACAAAAAATTTACAGGAGAACGAGCTGATTCTGTGTTTTAAAAGGAATCATGACAGAAGAAAACAGGTATGCTATGGAAATATACTCAGCTGTATTTCGAGACACAGAGCCAGAAGTGCATTCACAAAAACTAAACAAATGCCAAAGCATGAGACGGTGAACAACACAAACTGCAGCCACTTTCGGAGCTAACGCGGTGTTGTGTGATAGCGTCACTGGACTGACACGTGATATTCCGACATGTTAGTGTTTTGCGTATCTATGGCAACAACAGACTTTTATAACGTGAATCCAGGATCGCTGTCGTGAAACACTTAAATGTTTCCCTTACCTAAGAGAACCGTTTAAGAGATTATATGCAACACCCTTAAGTTGTTCTCTTAGGTAAGGGTAAATCGCCCCTTAAGTATCATACTTAAGGGAAAAACTTAAGGTGCTTTATGCAACCGGGCACTGAGGTGAATTATCCATTGTTGCTTTTAGTAGGCCTACAGCTACAAATTGGAGGCGGGCACTCTAACTAAGAGGCTAAAGACTGAGAGATCAGGGGAGTGAGGTTTACACGCACAGCGACTACTGGTCTACGTCTGTTTCGACTTACGTATGTAAGTGTGAGGAGCATGAGAGGTCAGTCCTCGTGGGGCGAGTGAACTGAGAAAATTCGGGCCAGATGTGGTCCAGAAACTACGACATGTAATACATTTTAGCAGGAAAACACAAATTCAAACATTTAAAAAAGATTAAGGGCTTTTATTAAAAAAATAACAAATACACTATAACATGAACATGTATTAACAATGATCAAATAAACTATAAAATGAACATTAACGACACATTTTAAACAATAACTTTAACAATTCATTTTAAACAATATTATTAACAACCCATTTTAAACAATAACAATACAAATAATAACAATAAAAATAATAAAAATATATGTAAAATATTTATCAAAAACATATGTATAATATGTATAGAAAAAAATAGGAAGAAAAAAATAGACTAATTTTAAACAATAATACAAATAATAAAAATAACAATAAAATATATTTATAATATAGGAAGAAAAAATAAACTCAGTCACATGCACACACACAAATAATTTTCACAGTCACATGCACACACACACACACACACACGCACACACACAAATAATTCAGTCACATGCACACACGCACACACACACACACAAATAATTATCACAGTCACATGCACACACACACACACACAAATAATTCGCACAGTCACATGCCCACACTGTAACACACACACACACACACACAAATAATTTGCAGTCACATGCGCACACACGCACACAAATAATTCAGTCACATGCACACACACAAATAATTCACACAGTCACATTCACACACACACAAAAATAATTCTCAGTCACATGCACACACACACACACACACACACACACAAATAATTTGCACAGTCACATGCGCACACACACACACAAATAATTCAGTCACATGCACACACACACACACACACATAATTCTCACAGTCACATACACACACAAATAATTTGCAGTCACATGCACACACAAATAATTCACACAGTCACATTCACACACACACACACAAAAATAATTCTCAGTCACATGCACACACACACACAAATAATTTGCACAGTCACATGCGCACACACACAAATAATTCACAGTCACATGCACACACACACACACACAC